TACATGTGCTATCTATCTACCCATGGTGCAAATCTATCCATGAATGTGGCAGAACACATAGGGAACAAAGGCATGATAACTTTGAATTATTACAACTACAAGTTCACGAGCTCAGGATCATACTCTCAGAGGGCACCAATTGGTATCTCATACTTCACAAAGGCAATGGTGGGCCTCCTAATTTGTCGAGCAGTGACTGGGATCTTAAAAGGTAGTGTGAACAGCCAGCCACCTGAGGAGCACCTATTGGTCTCTCCTTGTCCAGAAGGATCAAGAGTGAAGAAAATCAACACAAGGGAACAATTAGTCCAATGGACTAAAGGATCACATGAACATCAGTCTCCACAACCCTGAGACCAAAAGAATTAGATAGTGCCGGGCTACCACTACCAACTGCTCTGAAAAGGATCATCTTAAGAGGTCCCAGACAGAGTAGAAGGTAAATGTGGCACAAAACTCAAAACCACCTGACTGGTTGAATAGAAACTGGTAGAATCCTGAGAGTATGACCTTTGGTCACCATTCAGGTCTGGAAATGAACTCATGCCATGGCTCGATTTTCAAACAGCAGGTTGAAAAGGAGAACAATTAATATTCGGAAACTAAGAATAGCTTTGAGTGATCAACTTGAAATAAGAATAGCAGCATTTATCCAAAGTTCAGAAGGGTCAGAAGAGGAAGAATGTGAACAAAACCACCACAGGAACTGGGATGAGTAATGTTATATTGTGCGACTGCAATCAGTGAGGTAAAACAAAAATTTTTTTTGTATGAATTGTTAAGTGGAAAAATTGACCTGTGCTCTAAACCTTCATTCACTTTACAATTTAAAAAGTTTTAAGCCCTAATCATCATAGCAATAAAAGTTGTAATACAACACTAAAATTTTTTTTTTCTTTTTAAAGACTAGGCTTACAAGTCAGATAGACTGATGCAACCCCCAAGACAATGAGTCCTAGCCACCATTCTGATCTAGGACTAAACCCCATGGTCCAATTTTTAGCCAGTAGATAGGTCTATAAAAGGAACGGTAACACAAGAAGGGCACATACATTTCAGAACAATCAATCATCTGAGATCAAAGGGGCATTTACATGAGGACAACGTTCAGAATTAGAAAGAATGAATATGTGAAACAAAGGAAGTGAGATGTTACATTGTAGACATTTAAATCAGTGACAAGAAACAAAATGTGTATGACTGTTGAATAGAACAGATTTGCTCTCTGTATCACAAGTTCCGGACATGAAATCTATGAGTTAGTTTATTTAACCAGACTACAAGTTCTTAACCAACAAAGGACCTCCACAGGGAGCTAAATGGTGAAATTCATTACACCCCTGTGATAGATAGTTAAGAGTTTGGGTCACAACCGGACCTCCCCTGAAGGTGCAACCAAGATCTCTCTCTCTGGAAGCAGACCTCTCTCTGCCTTTACCTACCGGCTTGCTGGCCACCCTGAGAGCTGCTGGAACCCTGCCACTTTCCACCAACCCTGGATTCACATGACTTTGCACCCACCAGCCTGCGATCTGCCTGCATTCTGCATCTTTGCAAGCGACTGATTCTGAAGAGGGACTCTGGGACTAGATCAGATTTAGGGGCTTGAGTTGGACTGGGATTTTTTTATATATAAAGCTCTTTCTTACACATCAGTGGATTTGTTTCTCTAGTCTGCTCAGCCTAACACAACCTTTGATTATCTGAACATTCAATACCAACATCTAAAACCATGGAAAAGCAAATGCTGATTCACAGAAGTGCTGAATCCTCCCCCAGCTCAAAAATATTAAGTATAATAGTGTAATGCTTATACCATCTTCCTGGTTTAAGACAGGACCAACCAACTGAAAAGGAGGGGGAAAAGGTAAAAAAAAAAAATTTTAAAAAAGACATGGGTAGCAGGGGAACAGGGCACAATCCACCCAAGGGGAGGGTATTGTTTATATCTCCACAGGGAAAGAGGGACCAGGCTTCATGCTCCAAGAAATGAATGCAACATGCATGAAGCAGGGAGGAACCAATAGAGAGGTCTGAGGGGCTGGCCCCATTCCCAACTACATGGATAGCCGCCCGTCTCCCCAGAAGAATTTACTTCAGAGGACAGAACTTAAGCTACAGCTCAGGGAAATGGACATGTCTGATCAGAGCACACAGGAGCAAATGAAGGGGAAGGAAAAGAGTGGAGCACACCCTGGTCCCCCAAGCCTTCAGGATGATATCCCTGCTCAGAGCAGCCCAGGCACAGTGAGGACCATATGGCCGGCCACACTACGATCATTACATCCCTCACTTACCCTAGCTCTACGGGGACAACACTGGAGACACAGTGCAGGAATTGTGCC